GGGGGGGAGGGGGAAAGGGGGGGGGGGGGAGGGGAGGAGGGAGGAGGAAGAGGGCGGAGGATGAGAGAGGGGTAGTTGTCTTTCTTTTCGTGGATCGCGTCTCTTGTGCGCGAGTTTGTTGGCAGTTAATATGCATTTTTTGTCGTTTTCTGGAATATCTAGGTAGTATTTCACTTTTTTTTTTTTGAAAGATAAAACTCAGCCCGTTCGATTACGCACACCAAAGGAGAGGCCGGGAGCAAGGTTTTTTTTTTTTTTTTCGTTTTTGGAATGGGAGCAAGTTTTTGCAACTCTTTTCTATTTTTTTTGTCTGAAGGACGACGGCCTGGAGATATCGTCTTCAGACTGACCGGCCTGAGATATCGAACTCAGGGGCACGGTCCCACTTGCACTGATTAAGAGATTCTGGCCGTTGATCTTTGCAATCTACAGTCAATGTCGCTTAATTCGTGTAAGTGGGACCTAGCCCCAGGTCTGCATTTCAACAGTTCACGGGTGTACCAACTCAGCTAGGCCCATTGGTAGTTCTACCAACTACTCAGTATGGCCGTCATAGGTTTTTTTTTTTTTTTTTTTCTTTTTTTCCCCCTTCCATTTCAGCAAAAAGAACTCAACTTGAGGCCGGGGACCTCACAATTCAACCCGCGGAGTCATCCCGGCAGCATCAGCCGGTTTCGCTTACAGCCTCCCAGGCTGGAACTCGTCATAACCAATTAATCTGTATATTAATAACTTGCTTCCTTTTGTAACGACCTGCACACATTAACCTCCCTGTTTCCAAGGCCAAAACTTGTCACCTGCGTGCTGCTGCTGCTTTTTTTTTTTTTTTTTTTTTTAAGGGCCCAGTGCCCATTGTCACCTGCGTGCTATTCTACCCAACTTACTACCCCTCTAATCATCTTTTTTTTTTAAAAAAAAGGGCCCTATGCTAGCCTATTACTAATGCACAGGCCTAACACGGCCTGACACCGGCCATAAGGCGGCCGGTTGGAACCCCAGGTTGCTGAAAACACCATGGCGCACCACCCACCCCCCACCTAATGGCCTCCTGTGCTCAAAACCAAACCGAGTTCCCAGGTTAAAAAAAAAAAGGACTTGCATCAAGCCTGAAAACCCACACAAGTCGCGAAGGAAGAAAACAGAGCAACTTAATCTATCTACCCAACCTCTCTATCTCGTCTTACCACTCAAACCAGCGGGTGATATCCCAACCTTCTTTGGGGTGTGACGCGTGCGAACTCTTTTCCCCCAAGCACCAGGCCGTCATAGTTTCTCCAGGCTCAAGATTAGTGTGTGTGTGTGTGTGTGTGTGTGTGTGTGTGTGTGTGTGTATGTGTGTGTGTGTGTGTTTTGTGAAGGATCCCAGTGCCCAAGGCTCAAGATTAGAAAATGGTGCCTGAGGCTGAGGTCCTCACAGTCTACCGGGAAAAGATCCATCTGGGAGCCTTTTACCTAGCTTCGCTTTTTACGGGACCCTTAGGGACCCGGGAGCACGATAAAGCACCTCAAATAATACCTAAAAATCACCTACATGCATGACAAAAGCAGCAAGATTCCTATTCAAGCCTTCTGAAATCTCCTCGAGTATTGGGGCCTACTCGCTGCACTACTCTCGACATCGCACAAAAGACAAAAAATCATGGCGGTGTATCTTTCCATATTCTAGAGGAAGATTCACTCTCGTTTTGCACATTTCGAGAGTAGTGCAGCGAGGCCCTTGGTTTATCTAAGTTGCCTAACAAATCCCTATCTACTTTTTACTATGTGTGAAAGCTAACCAAGTAGAGTAGATTATTATTAAAAAAAATGTGTGAAAGCTAACCAAGTAGAGTAGATTATTATTAAAAAAAATGTGTGAAAGCTTACCAAGTAGAGTAGATTATTATTAAAAAAAAAGAAAAAAAAAACAGTAGATTATTATTACTCATCATGCTACAAAATTTCTGTCTCCAATCGTATTACGTCCATTTTAAAGGAAATAATCTATGTCATTCGGCGTAATGCTTTGTCTACTCCGTGCGACACACACATCGTTAGCAAGTGGCCAGTACACTGTGAGAACCTATTGCCGTTCTACATTGCGAGTCCCATCCTCCTGTTGTCCTTGTATCAGCCAGGGCGTTATCCTGAGCTTGCCTTCCTTTGTCAGAGAGGCCAGCATGTTTGCCTTAGCCCAGGTTTGTCAAACCAAGTCAGGCCCTTATTCGATTGGGTCTTCATGTTGTGCCAATCGACAAGTATCGCTCTTCTGAGAAGCATCCTGATTCTGCACCTCCTGCACCTGTGATCCTGGACGGACTGTGTTCCACTCCTGAATGCTGCCATGTTTCTCGAGTTCCAGATCACTTCCATGATTATGCCTCAGCGTACCAAGGCTACCTACCCCCAGCCTTTTGATAGATCCTGATCCTCTCGACAGAGTCCATATAGGATCCGTTCTTGGGTCCAGGGGAAGGCTTCCTTGGTGAAGTTCTTCCAATGACCCGTCCACCAGTTCCATGTCTCGTTTGTGTAACATGGGGAGTATAGCCAAAGGTGGTTTGTTGTCTCCCAACCCCATCGACACTTTGAACAGGTTTCTGAAATCTTCATTCCTCTTGATTAGAGCCACGTTGCTGCTGACGCTGTGAACAGGCTTCTGAAATCTCCATTCCTCTTGATTTCAGCCACGTTCCTGACGCTGTAACTAGGAGCTATTGAGCCCACATGAGGCTTGCTTGTTTCTGAGAAGGTATCCTTTTCAGGGCCTTCCATTAGCCCATATTGTTAAATTTTTCATTCAATATGAGCAAAAACATAAATTTTTGAATATAGATTTTTGAATATAGATATTATATCTCTATAATTGTCTATGCTATGAAAAACAAAATCTATATAGAATAATAGACTACTGATATTGGATATATTCAAGAATGGCTTTCAAATAATTGGAACCAAGATAGAAAACAAGTCCTTTTTTTACCTTTTTCTTGGGAACCATTAACTTATGATGAATGTAACGAAGTTTTTTTCT